CTCTCTCTCTCTCTCTCTCTCTCTCTCTCTCTCTCTCTCTCTCTCTCCTCTCCTCTCTCCCTCCCCTTCCCTCCCTCTACTGCAGCATGCCAGCATCAGCATGATTAAGCCGGCAGCCCGACTCCCTAATAACCTTTCCCATTACGGCCGCTTGCCGGTAAATTATTCGAATAACTCTTGCCCATTACACGAGTTTGCGAGTGAATCATTGCATTATCATTTGATTTATTTGCAATTAAATGACGGCAGTCGACGGATGACAGCCGGCCTGACGGGTGGGGCCCGAGCGCGTGCGTGGGGGTGGGTGAGTGGGAGTGGTTGGGGGGGTCAGGTAGGTGGTGGTGGGGTGGTGGATGGCAGGTGGGTTGTAGCGGTGCCTGGGCGGTCAGGCAGGAAGGTGGGCGGTCAGGCAGGAGGGTGGGTGGTAGCGGTGCATGGGGGGTCAGGCAGGAGGGTGGGTGGTAGTGGTGGGGTTGTAGATGGTAGGTGGGTGCGGTGGTTAGATGAGGTAGGTGGGTGGGTGGTAGTGGTGGGGTTGTAGATGGTAGGTGGGGGCGGTGGTTAGATGAGGTAGGTGGGTGGGTGGTAGTGGTGGGGTTGTAGATGGTAGGTGGGGGCGGTGGTTAGATGAGGTAGGTAGGATTAGGCAGGTGGGTGGGTGGTAGCAGTGCATGGGTGGATGGCAGGTGGGGTTGGTGGTGGGTGGTAGGTAGGGTTGGTGGGTGGGTTAGGCACAATGGTGGATGGTAGGTGGGGGTTGATGGATGGTAGCAGTGCATGGGTGGATGGTAGGTGGGGTTGGTGGTGGGTGGTAGGTAGGGTTGGTGGGTGGGTTAGGCACAATGGTGGATGGTAGGTGGGGTTGGTGGATGGTAAGTGGGTGGATAGCCCAGGTTATGTAAGCTCTCGAGCATGCTCTTATGTAAGTGGAGGTATGAGGTGGGGCAGCGGAGGGTGGATGCTGTTTCGTCGTGCATGGGGAAGGGCAGTTTTAGAGAGAGAGAGAGAGAGAGAGAGAGAGTTTTACAGCACGCTCAGCCACTGCTAGCGCTCTCAACACACTAATGTGTTGTATTAATGTGTCTGTCACAGGACATCACTTTCTCTGTCTCTCTCTCTCTCTCTCTCTCTCTCTCTCTCTCTCTCTCTCTCTCTCTCTCT